CGGTGAGCGGCGCTGCGCGGGTATCGCCGACTTTAGCGCGCGGCGGGCTGTCTTTCCGCGGGGGAGGCGCGGCAGGGCAGCCCCGGGCGCACGCGGCCCTGCGGGAAGGCGCAACAGGTGCAAAGGGGGCGGTAGTTCGGGGGGAGCCGGTGCGTCTGCTGTGGGGCGGGAGGATGCCGCGCTCTAGCTGACCCCGGCTACTGTCTTACAGCCTTGTCCGCATGGAGCGCAGGGAGGCAGCTGGCGCCGGGCGGGGACCCCCTGCGTCCCAGGTAAGAGACTCCTTATCATCTCCCGCCCAGGGCGCTGGGCGCCCAACCTGGGTGTCTTTTCCCTTGCGCCCACCCGAGCAGCTTCAGGGGGCTCCTATTGCAACCTCCCTTCCTGCCTCTGGCTTCGACCCCCGCCCCTGCATGGACAGTGGGAGCCTGCTCTGAAGAGCAGATGGGAAACCCCCTTCTTGCACTGCGGGGGGGCGAGGGGTAGGGTTACAAAAGCTCCTAGAGAAGGAGACCCTTGTTCAGGGAACAGCGTAGCTGGAGCAAACGTAGAGGTGGGGGAGGGGAGTGGGCTGCAGTACCCCTAGACTGAAGTGGTGTCCATCATATTCAGGGTTTACAGTTTGGTTCAGTGGCTCTCAGCAGTTCCCACTAGACAGATTGTCCCAGCACTCTTGTTCCTTGCCCTGTGCACTCCTCACGCTGTACAGCTGTTCTTAATAAGGGAAGTGCTGAGCAGCCTAAATTCCTGTGAGTGACATGGTGGGCTCAGTGGCTTACGTGGGCCAGGCCTGTGGCTGCAGCACCTGTAGAAGCTGGCGGTGGGCGCAGTGTGAGTGACGTTGGTGTAATCCCCCCGGAGTAGCTTTTGGAGCTTGAGAACAGCTGCTGCTGCCCTGTAGGTTTGAAGTGCTGTGTTATGCATGAGTAGTGAAGGTGCAGATTACCTGGGCCGAACAGACCCAGCCTTGTTCTTCTCTTCCCCAGGAACGGCAGCAGTGCAGGACTGCGGAAAGGAGATCCCACTGCACCAGCAAGGGAGGTAGGTGAGGCGCAGCCACTCACCTGGGGGAGACCTTCTGTGCATGCTGGTGCACAGGTGCTGCTCAGGCCGAGAATAGCTATGGAGATGTAAGAGGAAGGAGTCCACTCACTGTGAGCTTGGGCAGTGCTTCTTTTCCATCCTGCCTTCTTATAAAAGTGTCCTGATGTGGGATACACACTCAGTTTTCTGGTCCGACTGTGACAGCCAACTATACTGGAAAAGTTGGCCTGTAGTAAGCTCTGATTGTCTATAACAATATTTATTACTCTTTGGTCCTTTTTGTGGTTTATTGAAAGATGGGTTGATGGGGGAGAAGGGAAAGAAATGCACAAACAGTATTAGAAAGAACAGGTACATGGACTAATGCTTAAATGTAAGAAATCCTTAAAATGGTGTTTAACAGCACTATTTCTGGTTGTGTTTCTAATCTGGAATGATGGGAAATTCTGCTGTAGTCCTTTAGCACATAGTTTGACATAGCTAGCTAGAAAGACAAAGATTTTATAAGGTGGAAATTAATGGGAGCTGTAGATGAATATTAGTTTTTAAAAACGGAATCAATAATGTGTGCTCAAAAATCACACTTTATGATTCTTCCACTGAGCATATTTAATTGATGGTCTTTCGCAATATTTCATACAAGTCAGTGCTTCAAGGATTAATGAGTAGAGCCCTGCTTGGATGCTAATTTGGTATCCACATCAGCATCTGCAAAAATCCTTGGATATCCGTATGCACATCTGTGGTTGCAGATAACTGTGAATATAAAGTGGATATCTTAAAATTTGCAGGGTTCTAGCTACAAAATTTATATCCACATCCACAAAAAAAAAAATCCATATCTGCAGATCCAGATATTCACAAATATAAAGCGAATATATGCAAATTTGCAGGATTCTATTAATGAGCACTGCATAGGGAAGAGTATTATCATATATCAAATGAGGCTAGCCTTAGAAAACGTATATATACTTTGAATTCTGTGTAATACTTTATTCGCTAAGGTGCCATCAGTCAGTACACTTGAAACGTTTTCTCGTATTTGATTAATTTTAAGAAGACTGATAAACATAGATATCAAACACAAAATATAAGCACAATTAAACTAAAGTTAATTTAGCTCAAATCTGGAGTCTATAGACTTTCCTTTTGTACTTGAAACATTTCTAGCAGCATGAAAAGTCTCTTTCTCTGTTGCAGCCATAACAGCAGAATGTTAATAATTGAACCAAGAGAAAAAGATAAACGGCAGTTAAAACCTTTTATTAATAACTATTGGACACATTTAGAATTTCTGGGGAAAATGGGCTCCTTCAGCCTTTAGAACATAAGCTTATAGGGTGCAGAGTGTGCTCAGTTCAGTGGGAATTGAGCTGTGTCCCAGAATGGGTGGATCTGGGCCTTTTGTCACTAATGTAAAACAGTTATGTTAGCTAATAGCAATATTAAATACAAGCTAGGAGCTAACACAATTAGATTTTAATAAATCAATACTGATTTTTGTATGTATTTTACTCTGGCAACAGAATAATATTCTGTTAGCTTACTGCTGAAGTGCAATTTCCCTTATTACTTTACATATCCTTTTGTCTTTGATTAGGGGGAAAAATTCCCCTTTTTCACCCTTTAATCAGGTTCCCAGAAGAGAATATGGTTCTGTTTCCTCTTTCTCTCCACTGTTTGTTTCTGGAAAAGTTCAGTGGAGAGAGAAATATGCTACACAACCACAAACAGGTAATTAAGTCAAACACAGATAAAGTCAAAGGCTTTCTTTACAAAGAAAGGAAACAGTAACTGGCTCTTTGTTGCCTTCTGTGACAACTACTGATCCTAAGTCATCCAGTTCAACTTTTTGTGGGAAATACTGTATATATTTGGTATATTTTAAAAAGTTATTTACAGTAAGCATTTAATTATTGAAATAGAAGCACTGATTAACTTGTGATAAAAACAGTAGTCATTTTCTTTTGAGTCTTCTAAAACTATGTTACAAAACAGTTAAAAGGATTTGAACTTTAAAATTCTTAAGCATGAGACATTGTAAATAATAAAGTTCACCAAATTTTAATGTCATTTTATGTGGGCATATTTGTTTTGATTTAATTAAATATATTTAAGAATATAAGAATGGCCATATTGGATCAGACCAATGATCCGTGTAGCCCAGTATCTTTCCTGCCAACACTGGCTGTTACCAGATGCTTGGACAGGAAATGAACAGAACAGGGCAATTAAATGAGCGATCCATCGTCTGTCATCAATTCCAGTTTCTGGCAGTGAGCTCTCTAGGAATATCCAAAGCATGGGGTTTGCACCCCTGACCATTTCGGCAAGTAGCCATTAGTGGACCTATCCTCTATGAACTTCTCTTGTTCTTTTTTTGAAACCAGATATATGTTTGGGCCTTCGTACATCCTCTGGCAACAAGCTCCACAGATTGACTTTGCCTTGTGTGAAGAAGTACTGATTTATATTTGTTTTACATTGGCTGCCTATTAATTTCACTGGGAGATCCCCGGTACTTGTGTTATATGAAGGAATAACAACTCTTCATATCCACTTTCTTCACACCATTCATGATTTTATAGATCTCTATCATAACCTGTCCAAGTTGTCTCTTTTCTGAGTTGAGCACTCCTCATCTTTTATATCTCTCCTCATATGGATTCTGTTCTATAACCATGATTCTTTCTGTTTCCCTTCTTTGTTTCCAATCCCGAGATATCCCTTTTGAGATGGGGTGACCAAAACTGCATGTAGTGTTCAAGCTATATCCTGTTCAACCATATCATGGATTTTTATAGTTGCATTCTCATATTTTCTGTCTTATCTCTCTCTTTCCTAGTGGTTCCTAAGGTTTGTCGAAGCAAAAGCCTCACTCAGTTTATGCAGCTAAACAGACAGTTTTATTGGCCAATAAAAGCAAAGTGAGCCAAATGTGGTCCCAGCAGAGCTGGGCCCAGTGAGGCTGGCTAATACAATCAATCCTAGTATTTTATACCCTTAACCAAACAAGTCTGACGTCAGGGCAAGAAATCAAAGCAAACTTCAAAGAGGAACTATTATCAGCAGAGGAAGAAACAGGTTTAGAGGGAGTTCGAGCTTCAGCTCAAAATAGTTCATTAACACATTCCAACAGCGCATCCTTCTGGCCTCTCCCCACCTCGGTGAAGGCCAGTTCACTCTCTCTAGTATACGAGCAGACACAAGAAACTGAAATGGCTTTTGTTATACAGAATGGCTTCTAGCTAAATATGAAACGGTTTCTACAGGTGACTAACTTTTTTTTTTTACTGCTATTGCACATTGAGCAGATGTTTTCAGAGAACTATCCACCATGATGCCAACATCTCTTTCTTGACTGCTAACAACTAATTTAGACCCCATAATTTAGTATATATTATTAAGATTATGTTTTACAATGTTCTTTACTTTGCATTCATCAACACAGAATGCCATTTTGATGCCCAGTCACTATTTTTCATTACATTAATGAATAATATAATTTTTCCAAATTTGACAACACATATTAAATATAGCTTCCAGACAGATTATACACAAGCTGACAACATGAGTAATATGCATAGTAGTTTTCTCTTATTAAAATCGTGCCATATTTACATGTAAAAAGGTTACGGAAATGAGAAAACTGCAAGAACTGCTATTTCAGATTGTTCTTTTGATCTAGAATAAATGAGTGAATAGAATACAAGTGTTTAGGGTGGTAATGTGTACAGGCATTCCCAGACTTACGAGGATCTGACTTATGTCAGATCCGCACTTACAAACGGGGCTTTTCTCGCCCCGGAGCTCACGGGCGGCGGGTTGCCACCCGTGTCCTCCGGGGCGAGAAAAGCTTCTCCCGGTCTCCCTGGTCTGCTGGGCGGGGGGGGTCCAGCAAAGCCGCTGGACCCCCCCAGCAGACCAGGGACACCCGAGCAAAGCCGCCCAG